CACCCCGTGTCAGGCAGGGGCAGCCAGCTCCCGGGGAGCCGTGCCCACAGCTGTTCTACATCCCCTCGGCTTTGGTATCTGTGACTGTTCAAATTACCTGTTACAATAAACCAACATCTCCAATCCTACAGGGCACTGTCGTCTTTCTGCTGCAGCAGCACACACGTGTGTGTTGAGAACCCACAGCCACGAAGCCTCCTGTGGAAAGGACGGGGCTGGAGGAGAACCGCATCCTACCTGAAAAACCAGGAGCGAGGGGAATGGCCAGAGGGTTTGCGCTGTGCTGGGGCAGAAGCAGAGGCAGGAGGGTCCGGGAGGAGGGCTGTGCTCTGCCCCTGCGAGCTCCTGCTTGTCCAGACGGGCCGCGCTGCTCCCCAGCCCGCTGCGCCAGCCTCCAGGCTGCCGAGGGCTTGCGCTCGCAGATGTGCCCCCCGTCTGCCTCGCACCCCTGCCGTGAGCTGGCTGGGCTGGAGGTGCCAGCGAGGCAGCCAAAAGCAGCAGTTTTGGGAAAGAGGTGCTGAGCAGGCAGCTAACCAGGGAAGGCAGGCAGCACCATGGGCTCTCCAGTGCAGAGGCGGAGCTCACCCTGCTCAGCACCGGCGAAAGCTTGTCCCCCACCCTCATGTCTCGGAAGTCAGCTCCGGTGGGTGGTCCAGAGCCTTCCCTCTCTCCTCACTGAGGCCCACCGGCACAACTCCCTGGGCAGGACAAACGGAGCGCTCGTCTGGGGGCAGCAGTGGGTTTATACCCCTCACTCCGTCCTCCAGAGAAGCTCGTCAGGGCAAAGCGGGCTCAGTCGGCTGCAAAGTCACCGCAGGCCAGGGAGGGCCAGGGCGCAGACCCCAACATGCAGCCGCCCAGAGAGCAACACCTGGGAACACCGCAGGCAGCCCAGCGTGAGGAGGCACCGCAGCAAGGCGAGCGGTGTCTGCGCCCCCTTCCCTGCAGCCCCGACATGGGAGAGCAAAGCCTCGCTGCTCACCAAACCCCCCTGGTATGACCCAAACGATCCAAGGCCAACAGCGGGACTTGGAGCTGCCCATGACGATGTCTGTCACGACACAGGCAGTGTCACGAACAGGGCACTTGCTCAGCAGCCGGTTCCAGCTCACACGAAGCAGTGAGCTGCGCAGGAACCGACGCCCCAGCAGAAGCAGCCGAAGCAGCAGCGCACGGGCCAGGCCCCGTTTTGGAAATGGGAGCTCCCAGCTGGTTTTCACAGGGAGTTACATCTCCTGTGTCCTGCTTGCATCACCGCAGCTTTGAGGCAGCCGTGCCTGCTCCCCTGCCTTCCTACACTGTTTGTTTACTCTTCTGGCTTCTCAATGCTCTGCAATCCAGTATCAGTCAGAATCTCGCTGCAATTCACTTTATTACTCACCGGTTGCAACCAGATCACATATTCTCCCCAAACAACTCACCGCTGCTTATGAACTCTGTCCTGCCGGGACCAAGCCCTAAACAGCTGTCACCTCCTACCCAGGCAGCTCACTTCCCAAACGCTGGTGCACCGCCTGACTAAAGCCACACCTCAGTGCAGACCACGACCCCCAGGACACAATTTTGACAGACTGTGACAGCATCAAGCAGGGACATGAGGTCTGGCAAGGCCGGAGAGCCTTAGTGAGATGCAGCCTCCAGTGTTGCAGGAGCAGAAGTTCTCAGGGAATCAAGAAATGCCAGGGCCCAAATTTCAGGTTAATCACAGAGGTGTATTAGCCGCGTTTCCAGCGCTCTGGTACACACAGCCTCTCTGACACTGGCTCCACCAAGATGTCAAACTGTCTCTCAGAAAACTCCCTCTGCAGGCAGAATCCGCCCTGCCCGGCGGGGCGCAGGCCGGCCGGTGCACGCCCGCAGCTCCTCTCTCGCCTGATTTCACTTTCTGGATTTCATGGCTGTGACCACCATGCCTCCCAGGAGGGCGGCGAAGGTGAAGCCCTGCGCCAGGATACGCGCCCGCATCATCAGCTGAGACGTCCGGGTGTTGCCTCTCTTGAAGCTGATCAGTCCGTAGGCCAGGACGCTGACGGTGCAGAGGCAGCCTGCGGGGAAGGGCCGAAGGACGGCTCAGCCGAGCAGGGCAGGGGCTGCGAGGACCACCTCACGCCTCCCCCCTCCCCTAAGGGCCGCTGGCTCACCAGCCAACACCCTC